TTTTTTTTCATTTTTTAAACATTTATATTGGAGAAACTTGTTAAGATACCTTAATCGAAGTACTTTCCCTCGGATCCTACCACTTTCTCCCACTTCTCTGGCAAAAGCTGAATCTCACGTCGAAAGAATGCCCTGTATTTTGACGCTATTCACTCATCCATTTTCGGACTTCCTCGTAATTGTGGAAGTGTGTATTTTCTGAGACCTGTTGCATCGACCGGAACAAGTGATAATCACTTGGGGCCACTGAACTATATAACACTGGAATGGGCATTTCCGCTGTGATGCATAGAAAATCGTGGCCGCTATTGATCAGCCATTTTGATTTGAGGTGATATTTGAGCGAATCAGGAGCTTTCAGGTGCTCATGCGCACTTACGTTTAGTGTTCTTTAGTAAGACGCATATGTCAACAAGATTATCGTGTGTGACATTATATTTGAAGGATTATAAAATCGCATGACTGTCTACAAAGCATCAACATGAAGTGCTGTGTGCTTGGGTGTGGGCAAGAAAGTAAAAACGGCGTTTCATTTCATAGGTAAAAATTTTTTTTATTAAATATATCATTTCCTGCATATGTGTTAACGATGTAGGATATGAAGTGTTATTAAAGTTATTTTATTGAATGTATTAATAAAATTGAAGTGATATTAATTTTGCTTATATACCATTCATGTCCATATAGATTTCCATTCATCGATAGTACATCGATCGATAGTACATCGATAGTACATCGATCGATACATCGATCGCAACGCGCGCGCGAACACTTATGATTCGCTCAAATATCACCTCAAATCAAAATGGCGGCTGATCAAAAGCGGCCATAAATTTTCCTCGATGCCCATTCCAGTCTTCAGTGCTTGGGGCAAGGTCTGGAGAATATGTTGGCTAAGGGAGGACTTCCCATTCCAACTCCATCAGCTTTTTTTTCACTGCTAATGCAACATGAGGCCGAGCTTTGTCGTGCAGCAGGATCACTTTTCGATGATTTGATGCTATTGACGACTTTTTTCCATTAAATTATCGTTCAAACGCTCGAGTTGCTGTTTGTAACGTTCGGCAATCGTTTCATTGGGTTGTAAGGGGATGCTAAACCGATTACCCAACTCGATTAAGGTCGATAATACAAACTGTTTTAATTCCAAATTCGATAATAGTGTTGACATCTTTGATTCAGTTTTTACATTATGTTATATACCAGGTACGTAAATATGAAACCGGAATTTTTTAATAGAAAATACACGTGTATTGTATGAAAATGATAAAAAATATTTTATTCGAAGTATTGCCCATCACTAGCTATACATTTTTCCCACCTGTCTGACAATTTGTAGATGCCACGCTACCTGGTGAGCAGCATTTCACAAGTGGTTTTTCGGTTTTCCTGCTGTCTTTCATTCAGTTCATGTGGAACCCATTTTCCCATCTTTTGGATCTTTCCCATGGATTTCAAACGTATGGAGACGGCTTCTCGCGTTACATTCAATTGATCCGCGAGTTGTTGTTGAGTTTGAACGTCATCCTCATCCAACAATGCTTGCAATTCGCTGTCTTCAAACTTTTTCGGTGGTTTTCCACGTTCTTCGTTTCTCACGTCAAAATCGCCACTTTTGAATTTTTTAAACCACTCAAAGCACTGTGATTTACCAAGAGCATGCTCACCGTAAGCTTCGGCAAGCATTCGATGCGATTCTGCAGCAGTTTTCTTAAAATGGTAACAGAAAATCAATGCTGTCCGCAAATCGTTGTTTCCAGGCACAAAATTCGACATGTTCAACGCTATTACAAACTATACTGTTGTATGAAACTGTTGTATTAATTTAATACTGTTGTATGAATTGTATTATTGTAAGTTGAAAATCTTTGTCAGATGTCAGAACAAGGAAATGGCGTCAATGACGCAGTCTGACGGCAACTACATTGATAGCTATGGCCATCTATTGGTAAATTCCGGTTTTATATTTACATACCTTGTAATATATATCATTCTGTCTTACTCAAACACATACATCTGTTCTTATCTAACATATGCCATCTATCGCAAGATCGTGCAACTACAGCTACACGGAATTTCGACTCTGTTGACAGTCTCAGTCTTCGCAAAGCACCTGTATACACGTATTTTCTATTCGGTGGAAATATTTCTTTTCTAGACTATCAATCTTAGTTCTACGAACTCGGTATCGTTCGTTTCAATAATGTGACCTCAGCTGCACGCTTATTTTCAAGATATGGACTCTCAAACTCTTATATCAAGCAAATATATATCTGAGGTGACAGCTGTACGAATCAAAATGAGCCAAAAGTAAGTGAATTTTTAACGAATCTTAAACTTTTTTTCGATTTTCTCATGAAATCCAGTGCAGCTGAGGTCCTGTTTGTGCGTATCTTAATTTAAGTAATAATACTTTTGCAATCCGTACATCCAATACAGAGATTTTTCACCGAATGGAAATGTGGTAAAACAGGAGGCTTTAGCATCGCCTTAAGAGCTCATAAAGCACTGCTCCCTCCATATCCCACCAGATACACAGCGTGACCCTGGATATTCCGTTTTGGCGTGGATGTTGATGGTTAGCCAGGATCAACCCATGATTTTTTGCGTTTAGGATTGTGAAAATAAATCCATTTTTCATTCTCAGTTACAATACGACAAAAGAAACTTTTTTTTCTGTGCCTCGCAAGCAAAGAAATGGTAATGTTTAATCAATTTGCAATGGCGTTCTCACTCAGCTCGTGTGGCAGCCATTTTCCTTCTTTTTGAATCTTTCTCATGGCATGCAAACGTCGGGATACTGTTGACTTGTCAACATTCAACTGTTTGGCCAATTCTTTAAACGTTTGGGAAGAACTTTCATCCAGCAAACTTTGCAATTCGGAATCTTTAAATTTTTTCGATTGACCCGAACGATCGTTGCTTGTCATAAGGGTCGCAATCGCCACTTTTAAATCATCGCAACCAATCTCTACACACAGTTTCGGATAGTGCAGACTCTCTATAAGTCTGTGTAAGCAATCGGTGAGCTTCAGCTGCACTTTTTTTTAAATCGAAGTAGTGTAGAAGCACACATTAAAAAAACAATTTATTACGATCCATTTTTAACTTGCTCATTCGAGGCACGTGTGTCAACTAAATATGGCGGTTTTTGGCTTGAAGTTAATGGCAAGGGGTTACCTTTCAAGGTGATATAAACGACATCTGTCCGTGCTAAAATATGGAACACCTAGAAACACTTACAGCCGAACTGCGGGTTTCAATGCAACCACCTAATATATACAGAGTGTTTGATAAATAACGATAAAACTCTCGCATAGGAGTAGAACGGATTAAACTGAGTCGAAAAGTCCTCTACCATTTTACAATTTTTGCAATAGTTAACAAGATATTAATTACTAAAAATCACCGAATATTGGTTTCCAATAATTTATTACTCAAGTATTATCAACTTTATACAAAAACAACAAATGACAAAAATTGTTCTGAGAATTTTTTTAGAATTTTTTAGTACCGCATTTTCTCATGTTGGTAAAAATAGTTGCCAATAAAAAAATGTAACACAAAAAAGTTGATAAATTCTGAAAAAATTTTTAGAGTTCTATGAAAAAAAAATTAACAAGTTTTGTCTCTTGCTATTTTTCTGTAAAGTTGATAGTATTTGAGTATAAAATTATTGAATATCATTATTCGGTGATTTTTAGTAATTGATATCTTAACTCATGCAAAAATTGCAAAATGGTAGAGGACTTTTCGACTACCTCGGTAGTCTAAAGGCTTAGGACACTCGCAGGGAATGCAAGAGATCCGGGTGAGATTCGACTCCGGGCTGAGGTAATATTTTTCGCAATAAGAATTAAATATTTACAGATTTTAATATGTCATTTAACATTATTAAGATTGTTTCGAAGATACGAATAAGCATCAAAAATTTGTTAAATTGCTAGTCAATTTAACTCGTGATATTACTGCGGTAGTTTAATAGAGTTAGCGTTTTAAGACTGAAAAATCATTTCGGCGCGCGTTTCTGGGAACTGCAGACGTAGTATATATTCACATAAGAATCATACAACCATTAAGATCCAGCTATACCGTTTAAGCGTTGATTTTTATATTTTGTTATCACATATACCTATAATATATTATATTGTTTTTTATTTTATTTATTATTATTTTTGTTGTTAAAAATTAAAATTTTAAAAAATGATTACAAAATTTACATTCAAAATAATTTATACAAAGTTTCATTGCAATTCACTAATCAGTTACAAAGATATAGAAGAAATAAATATTTTGTTTATTTACTGGACAACTAGTTCATGCACCGCAATGTAACTCTAAGTAAATAATCTTGAATACATAATGTACTTATTTTTAAAAATTGAGATCATTTATTTTATAATACATTTTCATGTATTTTTTTTATTTTTGCTCAAATTTAAAAAAATATTATTATTTATTAAAATAACTTATGATCTAGATAATAAATCGTCATTAAATTTATTGTATTATTTTTATCCGTGACTTAGAATAATCCGTAATTTTTCATAATTCTGTTATTCTTTTGAAAATATGTATAAAACATGCTTAAAAAACAACGTAAATTTCCATTCAATCTAATAGAACATCTATACGTATAATATATCTAATTAATTCTAATATTTAAAGAAACACATTTTAGATGTGCTATAATTTCAAAATCTGTATAATTGAATAAATAACCTCATGATATGATATAGTTCCTAATTTTTATCTATTTATTAATTATTAATTAATTTCTATCGTAATTAAACAAAAAATGAATATTACGGCATAAACTTCAATATAACAAAAAATATTTTTTTAAATAATATTCCACACACACACAACATATATAACAGTGATTTATAAAAATTTGTATATGAATTTTATTTGAACAAATTTGATAATACTTTCAGCTTAGATATAATTTGCTTAAAAATGCATCAGTCACTTATAACTAGCTGTTTTGGTATTGAAATATGTTACCTTTGTATTTTATTAAAGTATTTATCGTTACTTCGCAGGATGTGCGTGTATTTCTTGACGGAGCAACGAACGGAGCACTCGTAATATCTCTAGGAACAAATGTAAAATGGAAATCGATTGGACTAGACACAATTAAGACCGTTATCCTAGCTCTGTCAAAATTAAAGCAACGAATTCTATGGAAACTTGATATTGATGTACCATTTGAAGTACCGGATAATCTAATGACTGTGAAATGGATAATGCAAAAAGAAGTTCTATGTATGCTTCTTGATACTTAGAAAAATACGAAAAGCATAGAATATAACATATATTTTTTTATAATTTTTGTTTAATTAGCTTTCTATATAGTTAAAAAAAAAATTTTTATATTTTTTACGCTTATTACCTCTTTATTAAAGATTAAAATATCAATCTGTCCAATTTTTTAAAATTTGAGTGTAATATTATTCTCTTAAGGAGGAACACCACTGTGACGGGTTTAAAAAATTGATTTTTTTTGCATTTTTATAATGCTTGGAGTCATAAAAATATATCCCTAAAATATTATGTTGAAATTCGTAACGGAACTACAGTAAATATATGGCAGAGTAGGATGTTGTCAGATGCATAAACTAATCAGTTGTAAAACTTTAAATACGTTTTTCTCGAAACCACGTTTTCGTAACAGGGCGCTCACTCGGCCAATTTTTATCCGAATAGCTTAAATTTTGGACAGAATGTTTGCAACAAAATTGTCTTCAGTTAAGCGTACAAATTTTTCAATCGGATTATTAGTTTTTGAAAAACAATAAAAAAAAGTAACAATTTTTTTTTGCAAAATTGGCGCGACCTCTTTTTCTAAAACAGCGCTTTTTATAAAATAATTTTGCCTAAAATTATTTCATAAAAAAATCAGTACACTTAACTGAAACTACACTCATATAAAAGTAATAATATTGAAAATTCCCGTAATAAATAATAAACGATATTAAGAATCTTTATTTTAGATCGCATATGTGAGAAACACAATCAATACTAGAAATTTAAAATGCCAATTACGGTCGAAGCTGGATCTTCATTGCTTTAAATAATTCAATCTTGAATTACTAATATACACTATATATGTACTTGCATATATACCATATTGTAGTCTTTTTCAAACTGCGCGCCGAATTGTTTTTTCGGACTATAAACGTAATTAAAACTACTCTAGTAATCGCGAATTAAATTGACAAGCAATTTTAATAATTTAATGCTATCATCAAGTATCATATTATAAGAATGTTAATAAGTTGAAACTGTTAATAAATTTATTGCAAAAAATATTACCTCGGCCGGGACTTGAACTCGGATCTCTTGTATTCCATACGAGCATCCTAAGCCATTAGAACACCGAGGTAGTAAATAATAAATATAAATAAAGGACTAACAAGCAATTGGGAATTAGCACAGTGGTCGGTGCGAAATACTCTTCAAAAAAGCTTTATCTTAAATTTAAATGAAATGAGATTTGTACATGTTTCGGCTAGTATTCTAGCCTTCTTCAGCAAAAAATATGGATGACCTGTCACGATCCATGATATTGAAGACGTAAACTTACGATGTTAACAAAAATTGGCATAATTTGGTCACAATCGTTGTCCAGTAACCCTTACTCCATTAGAGAGTCGTTCTCACCAGTTGCAAGGCTGTAAAGTTTTTAATCATTAATACCATCCAGCCTTTTTTGTAACATCGTAAGTTTACATCTTCAATATCATGAATCATGACAGGTCATCACATATTTTTTGCTGAATAAGGCTAGAATACTAGCCGAAACATGTACAAATCTCATTTCATTTAAATGTAAGATAAAGCGTTTTTGAAGAGTATTTCGCACCGACCACTGTGCTAATTCTCAATTGCCTATTTGTCCTTTATTTATATTTACACTCATATACTTTAAAATTAAAAAAATATTTTATTTTAGAGCTCTCGTTCAGACGCAACACGAGCACCCGTGCACCCATGTTTTTCCGGACGAGGTGCACATCAATGAGCACTGAGGCTAGAGATATTAATATTATTTAATGAAGTTTTTGTAATAACTTCGTAAATGTATGTACTTTAAATATATAAAGACAATCATTCATACAAACTATTAGTTTTCACAAAAAAATTCACAAAAGTAGCCTTTTTTTAGCCGTCACAGTAGTGTTCCTCCTTAAAAATAGCATTGAGTAGAATAAGCCCGGATCCTCATACGGGCAACAGCGCTTTGACACCGAACGCTCATTGGTGAAAAACGGATGATGAAGGTAAATTTTACCCCCACAACCGACTTTTCACCAATTAGCGCTTTGTGTCAAAGCGCTGTTGCTCGTATGAGGATTCGGGCTAAGATTACAAAAATGATTACAAAAATGTACTTTCAACGATTCAAAGTATTATTTGAATCATCGTTCCAATATTTCAGTAAAATGTTGTGGTGGGCATACATGAAAACATTGCGTATATAAATGTTTTGTGAATTAAATAATTCTTGCATGACTAATTACAGTAGATAATTCGGATTCCAGTATTATTAATTCTATTTTAAATTATTAATATGGTGTAGAAAAAGATCAGGAGGTTGTTTTTTTGACATTTTATTTTGTTGAACGGCAAATATTATGTATAATATACATAAATATAAAAAATTATTCTTATATCGTAACTTTTTAATCGTATTTTTCTAAGAACAAAAATAACTAAGACTTTTACATTTTGAAATATCATAACATTTTATAATTTTGGTAAATTAAGGGGCGGCATTAAATAAAAACATTTAAAAAAATACATGTTTATTAATTACAAATTTTGAATTAGATATTTTTTGGACATATAAACTTAACGTTTATAAAAGAGACCTGCTTCTTCACAAGCACAATTTTCATAAGCCCAACTTTCACAAACATTGCACCGATTAATTAAGCCAGTTTTTATCAAAGTTTTCTAGTTAAATGATATCTTTTCATCATTTTATTTTTCTTAAATTAATACTAATGTTTTTTTACGGTTTTGTTTGACTTTTATATTTTCTTATCCTTATCATTATCTTTACTTATACCATATTGTTCAATACTGCCCGCTACTTCATTGTCCAATTTAATAACAAAATAATGTATGAAATGAGTAATCTTTAAAACAAAAGAGATTTTAAATCCACAACTTGAAGAATAATAGATGTTATTATTTACATTGATAAACTAAAAACGATATTCGACTTATATTTAATGATGTTACTGATTGGTAAAATTAACTTTGTGTCGGCGTAAACAGCAGCTATGCAACAAAATGCGCATTAACTCATAAACCGATGCGTCTATTTTCAATATGGAAAGGGTCCAGTTCTCATGAAGATATCACATGCGTCTATTCTAAACAATTCTTGACCCATATCAGTCGTTGAAAGTGCAATTGTATTAATTTAATCGAGACACAACTTATAATAAAATGTTTATATCAATGTGAGTTTTTTATCATAACAATTAAGAGTTAAAATGTATTATAAGAAATTTTTATGTTTAGCTCATCAAAATGTAAGAGCGGTTTGGACTCATGGTGGTCTTCTCAGCACACAGGAAGCCATTTGGAAAGGTATACCAATAATCGTAATGCCTTTTTTTATGGATCAAAAATCCAATGCACAAATATTAGTAGCTAAAGGCGTTGGCATATATTTGGATATCAAAACTTTATCCGTGCAAACTATATTACACGCAGTTGAAGAAATATTTTACAATGAAAGGTATTATATTTCAATTATCTTTTAATAGCATAATTATTATTTAAGCTAAATGAACAATATAATTGTTTCAAGTAATATCTAGACTGATCTAATATAATTAGTTTAAAATTTTCTTGTAAAAAATAGTTGCCTACATAAAATAATAGATTATGAAATTTAATTTAATTTTTCATGTATCTTGTTATATATAATTCTTTATGTTTAATTAAAACGCGCATGTTGTGTTAAAATGAGTTACATTATTAATAGTACGTAAACATCTTTGATGCAGTTATACAAAAAACATGAAACAGTTATCCAGTGAATTCCGGGATCGACAAATACCGCCATTAGATTTAGCTATTTGGAGCATCGAATACACCGTCCGCCATCCAAATGGAACTTTGGTAACGCCGCTGAAATTTCAAAGTTGGATACAACAGAATTTAATTGACGTTTACGTATTTTTACTTTTTAATATCATCATAATATTGTTAACTATATTCTTTACAATAAAAATACTTATTTATTTTTATTATAATCATATATATACGGCATCTAAATTTCACAAGAGCAAACAGTCGTAAAAGCCGCTGAAATATAATGCTAATTACTAATAGTGTAGTCGCATGGACATAGTAATATAGGGACAGAGCATAAACTCGGAAGATAAGTGAGAGGTGTTGTGCTGAAATACGGGGGGTGACTGTGCCTAAGTTTTATTGGTTACGATATGCGCATGCTCAGTATTGTGTAACATACCGACTTAGCGGCCAGTTGCAAATAAATGATCAAAACAAAATGATAAAAATTATTCGTTGTTAAGAAATTAATTGTAACCCATTATAAACCAATAAGATTAACAAAAAAAAAACAATAATTGGAAATCTGAATAATTGGAATCTTTAGAAGTTCTATAAATGAGTAAAATAAATATGTACTGTGATGTGGCGTTTGTACCGTCCGTCACAAGAGTCGTTTGACCCGACCGGAATTAGCGTGGCATTTTTGTCCTGTGTCCTGCCGTAGCGGAGGGCGGGCGTGCCAACGCTTATCGCGATTACGGGCGACTTTGCGATTGCATTTCGCCGATTCTTTATTTTTTCGTTAAGCATTTTTTCTAGCATTTTTGTATCATCGGCGGCTACAAGAAATAAATTGTCAATCTGAAGCTACGTCTCACCAACTCCGCAGACGTCGAGGGAGAAGAATGGAAGCACCCTCGAAGAGGATCGAGGCCGCGGCCGGAAGGGAGGACGCGCAGGTGAAACAGCTCTTTGATTTTAATAAACCATTTTATTGCGAGCATGATCCTCGTACCGGATTCTTTACTAGAGATAGCCCTGTAACAGGGAAAGACACGGCATGAAGGGGATGCATGAAACAGCTCTTTGATTTTAATAAACCATTTTATTGCGAGCATGATCCTCGTACCGGATTCTTTCCTAGAGATAGCCCTGTAACAGGGAAAGACACGGCATGAAGGGGATGCGCACCCCTTGCCGCCCACCGGGGCCCTGCTGTCGGCGCCACCAGGAGTATCCTACCAAACAATGACGCCCCGCCGCGGAAAAGGAAACCACACGGCGGGGGAAATTGATTGCTTTGGCATCCGAAAGGCCAGAGGACCCGGATGAGACAGGGGAAAATCCTGTGAATGGCCGCCGAAAAATGCCCACCAGCAGTTAAATCCCGCGCGCTGAATCCAGGGCGCGCAACGCAACAGCGATTCGCGAGAGCGCATGGGACCCGCGAGAGGGCTCGCGACCAACCGGGGTGATCTCGATTGATCACGGCTCGATTGGACACCACCAATCACAGCGACCAGGTGCCTAGGAGCTTTGTAGTCTCAAGCGCTGTGAGTGGCTCGTGTCCAATTGAGCCGTGTCCAACTGGACGCCACCCGGCCGGCACTTGTGCTGTGGCGAGCCTCGAGTAAGGACGTGAGGAAACGGGACATTAGAGAGTGAGGCCGAGAGCGTGACCGAGAGTTGAGAGTATCGAGAGAGAGCCCCAAGGAGGACCCTTGGTGAGACGAGCGCAGTAAGATTTTGTAAAGCCGGCGATTTCTCGTCGGCGGGATCGTACGAATCCGCGGCAATTAATTGTTAATCGTTTCGTAGAGCTCGTTATCGGGAGCTGCCCGCCATTGCAGGCGTGATCATGCCATCCCGTCCGATATCATGGGCCGCGAGTATTTCCGTCGCGTATTCAACATGCCCCCACAGTCAGGTCATTTCGCGTGTAGAGTTAAGTTGTATTTCTTGTCGCACTTGAGAGCCGGAATCGCGTAAGATTCCGGACAGTATTTTCGTCATTTCGTACTGTATCGTTCGTCGTGTCTCGTACCGCGTTGTATCGAGAGCCTGAAATTGCAAATAAAATTCGTATCCGAACTGTGATCCCGTTCGTCTGCGACGGGGCAGAGATTTCTTCACAGGCCGAGCTCAAGGTCGAAGTTGCTCACGCGTTACAATACATTGGTCGTATCGTAGCGTCGGAAGCGTCGTAAGCATCATACGACTTTAAAATTGAAGCATCGGATTGGCTCAAGCAACAAATTTGTGACTTGCGACGTCTACGATACGACCAATGTAGAATGGCCTTTAGATAGGGCCAAGCGCCCCGCGATTGCCACGATCCGGAGATTCTCCGTCGTTATACCATCTACGAGTTGTCGAGTAGTGA